AAGAAAGAAAGAAAGAAAGAAAGAAAGAAAGAAAAAGCCTGAACTACATTGGTAAAGACTGTGGGGCTTTTATTTATGTTTTTAATGTGAGATCTTGGGGATGAAAAAGAAAGGAAGGGTTGTGGCTTAATAATGATGTGTTTGTATGTCAAGTCGACAAGGAGTCCGTTGTACTGGCTGGTTTTGTGTGTCAACTTAAGTCATCAGAGAGGTAGGAGCCTCAGCTGAGGAAATGCCGCTCGCTATAAGATCAAGCTGTAAGGCATTTTCTCAATCAGTGACAAATGAAGGAGGGCCCAGCCCATGGAGGATAGTGCCATCCCCGGGCTGGTAGGTTTGGGTTTTCTAGGGTGGGCTCAGCAAGTCATGAGGAACAAGTAGATAAGCAGCACCCCACCATGACCTCTGCATCAGCTCGGGCCTCCAGGTTCCCATCCTGTTTGAGTTCCTGTCCTGACTTCCTTCCATAATGAACAGCAATATGGAAGTGTAAGCCAAATAAACCTTTTTCTCCCAAGCTTGCTTTTAGTCATGATTTTTTACCACAACAGAAATCCTAAAACTTCTTCCACCTTCTGATGAGCTCCAGCAGGAAGTGATAGAAGCTAGGAGATGTTTATAGCCCATACCTGGGCGAGTGAACCTTCAGAACACTGCTTGTAGAAAGGTTCCAGAATGTCAGACCCTGACTTGAGGAAGCAGGTTCAGAGAATCACCTGAGCTGTGAAACAGGAACCAGGCCTGGGTGAATGTGAAATCCACGCCCAGAACCTATGTCCTTCCTAGCATCCCTGGACCCATCTGGGTTTGTCCAGGTGACAGACTCCTTTCCAACCCCAGGTAGACTTCAGAACACAGAATCCAATTGACTGCAAAAGTCCAGCCATTTAATCAGAGCTCCCCACCCTTATTCCAAGACAGCATCCTGAGAATTACAGGCACAGCTGTGTAGGAGGCTGTGGAAAGCAAAGCAAAATGAGGATGTTTGTCAGACTCCTGGAGTAAGAATTGGGCTGGGTAGAGGCCTCTTTGTCCAGACACCAGCATGAACTTCACGGGAGGCTAGGGCTGGTCAACACCACCAAAAGTATGAGGGTGTTGGGCTGGTACTCGTGAGTTGCACTAGCTTGCTTCTGCCTTGTCCAACTCCCAGTGAGAGGTAGCTGGTGCTCATACAGGCCTTGTCCTCTTGGCTTTTTTCTCAGACCTCCCAGCGTCATCATGGGCTTTCCTTTTCTCTGCCAGCTTGCTGGCCTGTGAGAAGAAAGGAGGAACTCAGGAGAGAATGGGGGAAAGCAGGGAGGGATCTCTTCCCTTACTACAGCTACCCATTACTAGCAGAGCTTCTAGAAAAGGTAACAAACAAATAACCAAAGACCCCCGACTTGTACCTCAGGGTGAAAGAGAAGAACCCCACTATTGCCCATATAGCTCATTTTATGGTTCACAAATCTCCAGCTTGGAGAATCTAGGCTGGCTCTTCCCCCAGCTCCTCTGAGGGAAAGACGAACACCATTCAAACCTTTATTGGGAGCTGGCAGAGAGGGCACAAGGAGGAGACTCCTTCCTGGAACACAGGTAATGCTACTAAGAACCATTCAGAGGTGGGCAGGCTTTGATCTGTTTCCTGAGCATGACCATCAACAGGGAACAGGTCACACTGTACAATGTCATGGAAAGACCTGAGGAGCTACCATGCTACTGCTATGTAAGAAGAATCTGGTCCCCTTGCTCACCCCCCCACCCAGGCAAGGCTGCCAGCCACTTCAAGTGAACTCCCAGCTGACACACGCTGAACAAGCACGGGTAGCTTTGTGAACAAGCGCACAGAGCTGAAGGACTTCCCAAGTCTGCTGGGCTACCCCATCCTTAGGACAGCTATGGGTAGGCATGGGGGACTAGTTAGGTTCCTTAGTGGTCGGGACTCTCTAGCGTGAGGCCTTGGTTTCTATTCCCAGCTGTGTAAATCCAAACCAAACCAAAAGAACTCCAAAGGCGGCAAGTTTTGGCCAAATGGGCCAGGGTCTGTCCAGAAGACAGCCACATGCCTGAGCTCACCTCACGGATTTTGCGCCGCTTGCCAAACATGATCTTTTGGTAAAGGTACTTCTCCCGCTTTTTCATCATCATGATGGCCAGGCGCTTGGCCTCACTTTCTTCCCACCATCACCTTCGTTGTCATCATCTTCATCATCCTCATCCTCATCTTCGTCCTCTTCCTCTTTCAAGTCTCCTGCAGACAGTAGGTGAAGCGTCTGCATTCCAAAGGCAGAAGGATGCTCCCCCAATGGCCCCCAACAGCTCGCACAGCCCCAGTTGAGCTGCCTTCAAAGGAAACACGCTTGCTATCCATCAAACACTGGCAACCCTAGGCTGTTCTGCTCAGCTACTCCAAATGTCAACACCAGACTACCATTGCAAATGCTTGAAAGGCTAGAGGGCTTTCTGCTCCAGCTGTCCTCCTCTCTGGAGCCTGCCAACTCCATAGCCAAAGGAAATGGCCAGCTTGGGCATAGGAGCCAGGGCCACCAGAAGAGCCTGTCCATACTGCTATCCCTCCTTGTCCAGCTCACCTGGATCTTCTCCCCGCTGCAGAGCCAGTAGCTTCAGCTTCTCAGGGGGAATGTAATCTCCTTCATTCTCAGATACAAAGGGTGAGAGGTGTGGGGGCAGCTGCACCCCAGGGAAGTACTCTGCCACAGGGAGGAGGAGCCGGGCATTCACACAGTCAAACACCCACTGGGGCTGGACGTAGTACCTGGTGCAGAGCGGCCAGCAAAGACAGGTCACAGGGGAACAACCAGAGGCACCAACCACCGCATCACCAGGGCCTAGCACTCCCCTCACCCCCACCCCCCACCCCACAGAGGTCACACGAGGGCTTTGAGAGTCTACCTGCCAATGATGGGGGTTTGCTGCCCAGGCCGGTCAACAATCTGGTGGGTGATGCAGGAGTCTGTGATGTCATAGGTGGCTCCGATACACAAAGACTTGTCCCAGGACACATCCCCACCAAAACTCCTACAGGTCCATGGAAAATCTGGAAGCCGCTGCTTGCCCTGGAAGCTTCTCTGGACCTACTACTCACAAACCCACCCTTCAAGGAAGTGCTTCCTGTTTGGTTGGGTGACACCTGCACTCCTAGTCTAGTAGGACTCAGCCAGTGACAGGAAGGACAGCAGCTCTCCCCTCAGTTGTGCTCTGAAGGTGTCTGCCTGAATGCTCTGCACACGGCTTTGAGCCGAGTGGAGACACCCTCATGATGTTACCATCAGGCCTCTAGGCTAAGATGGAGACTGGACTACTGTACAGCCCCAACTATAGGCTGGCTAAAGGCCTCTCTCTGCACCTGATGATAAAGGCCAATGCTTCACGGGGCACCTCTCGGTTCAGGAAGAATTTCAGGCCTTCGAAGAGTTTCTTTTGTTTTTCCTGTGCCTCCAGCTCTTTCCTGCGATCTTCCTCCTGTGCTGTCACCTCCTGCAGAGAAGGAGCCAAGAGACAAGGAGCCAAGCTTCACACCACCAGGCCATCCAGCTCCACCAGAAGGAAGGGACTGGCAGCTTCCTTCTAGATCCCACAGATTCTAGGTGATGACCCGGCCCCCATCCTGTCCCATGCTGTGCACTGCCGGAAGGCAGCACACTGCTCACTCACCCCATCAGTAGGAAACTCATCGGCCTCAGCCTCCTCTATAGTAGGCACCACCACTTGGGCCAGACTGGCACTGAGCGCTGCTAGTTTCTGTAGGTGGGAAGCAGAGCCTCATCTGGGTGTGGGGTAGGGTGGGGAGCAAAAACAGTTCCAGGCCACATCTGGGTCTGGGCGCTAAGGGTAAGTCATAAAACCACCCACTTACCTCCATAGAGCTCTCAGAATCCAATGCATATGTGTCCTCGCTGATCTTTGTCTCTGCCTGGGCTTGAACTTCTAGCTGGAAAGAAGGAAGAGGACAACTACAGCCCCGAGCCTCAATATGTGGCTAGAAGGGCTAGATCCAAGCTAGTGAGAAGGTGCTAGGGCTCTACCTTGGGTGGATAGTGAAGGTTGAGTGACTGGTAAAGGCGGAAGTTCACAAAACCCAGAAGAGTGGTATAGAACTCAGTGAAGGTGGCCATGACCCTGTAGTCCACATCTGTTGGATGCTGGGGGTATAAAGAGACACATCAGCAGTGTTAAGCACAGGGTTGGATGTAGGTGTTATGCACACAAACTCACAGGCATCTCAAGTACAACACAGGCTCTGGATGCAGGACCCAAAGGCTATGAGTACATGGAGATCAGTGCCAGGATCCCATATGATAAAGGGGAGTCAGGCTAGAGACAAGGGAATTAGTCCACAGTGCCCCATTACAGCCGACCCTACCTCTTCCTGGCCCTGACTCTCCCACTCCTCCCTCAATTATCAGTGAGACCTAGACAGAACACACACCTTGTCTACCACCCACATCCCAGCACATGCCTAAGATCTGCTTCAGGGCTGCTGTGAGCACTAAGGCAGCCTTTCCAGAGCCCAGCAAGGCCTAGGTATATAGCTCATGGTCCATGGACCAGAAGAGGTTACCCCAAGTCCCACTGCTGCATGCCCAAGCACTGGCTGCCCAGGGGAGGGGCACACGAGGGTCCTTGTTACAACTACCCTTTGCTGAGAGGAAGCAGTTGGCAGCAAGCTGGGAGGAAGGAGGCATGGGCAGCCCATGCCCCTCTCCCAGGGCCAGCTGTGTGGAGGCTGGCCCTCAGAGGGCCCTATTCAGCACCCTAAGGACACACAAAGAGCAGTCTGAGAAGCACGGGGGTTCGACATCAGAGTTAAGGAAAGACAGAAAGGGCCAAAGAAGAAGTGATATTTGCCTGTGCCATCAGGCCCCCTAGCCCAAGATTTGCCAAATAGCCATTTCCATGGAGCCTCAGACCAGCAACCTGTCCAGCAGTGACTCACAAAGCTACAAACACAAGCACCCAGGCCTTGTAAGGCCTATCCCCAAAAGGGAAGATCCTCACTCAAGTCTTGGGATGATCCGATCCCCCCAAGTACTCACGAGAGACTGTCCTTGCTGCAATCGCACGAGGTTTATTGACAGGAGCCAGCGCGCTGGGGCCGAGACTCATATCCCACCCAGGGGTAGAGGAGTTTCGACCCCGAATGGCTGGGAATAGGGGTTTTTAAAGAAAGAAAGAAAGAAAAGAAAGAAAAGAAAAAAAAGAAAGAAAAGAAAGAAAAGAAAGAAACGACAACCCAAAATACCAAGAATACCAGTGAAGGGTCCCGAGGGAAATCACAAGGGGAAACTCCCTATTCCTTAAGATTAGAATCTTACAAACAATTTTAACTTTTTATGGCTAGCCTTTTTCTGGAACAGAGGTGCTGAACCAGCTAGCCACCCTATATCCCAGGCCTTATTTTTTCTGCTTGGGGGGGGTTTTTTATTATCCTGGCCTTTCAGCCTCACTCACCTTGTACTCTCTGAACTTGTTGACAATGGGCTCATGGTGGAGGAATTGAATATCTTTGATAAGGTAAAATGTTCCTGGTGAACTCCGATGACCCCCAGACCCAGCACAGAATTGTTATCTTTTTGGTGAATGAGAGACACTAAGCTGGTGGCTCTCTGACTCTCTTGAAAAGTGGATTCTTCAAAGGCCC